AAATACTTTACGACTGAAAGCAGAGCAGTGAATGTAAGTCGAATGTTGTCGTTATACTTTTCTACTTGTTTTGTTAAAATATAGACTCTATTGAGTCACTTTAAAGTTATTCAAAATTCTTTTCATTTTCCTCCAAGTGAACCTTTCCAACCTTTGATTCCAAACCTTTTTGGGGTTTAGAAAATTGAAGTAAAAGGGGACCTTTGTAAATGGGTTTTGTGTTTGAATTCTATTCCTTAAATTCGAGACGATCTTTGAATTTAATCTTGTTTCTTTGGTTCAATATATTGAATTTTAATTTAATAAAGTTGTGTCAAGTAACCCATTCTTGACGTAACAGTAGAATTGAGATGAGGATCTGTTAGCAATGAGGAGACTTGGAGATGTGTAAACTTTGGAAGAATCACTCACTTTAACACTTACTATGCGATATATTTTAACAATTTTTACAAACAGAGATGTTCCTTTCATAAGGCAACTACTTGTTACTTGATATTCGATGCTGATACCAATACTAAAATTGAATAGTCAAGTATGTCCTTATATAGGGGTTAGTTAGCTGGAGGGGATGAGGGCGGACTTAGTGAAACAAGAAATCTTATTTTTGAGTTATTGGTTGAAAAATTTGTAAGGTGGGTGGGCCTTAGTTCGGATTGGTGAAGATTTTGGCAAATGAAAAATGTTGGAGAGGGAAATGCTGGCCCGTAATTACAATTTGTCGCCATACCTGGATTTGTGGATATTGCTCTTGAGTCGTGAAGGGGAGAAAACGTAATACTCATTAGTGAACGCGAGGGTCGTTATGTGGGTCAATAGTCGTTTATGCGGGGCAATAAGATTATTAGAAATATTTATTTTTGTTAAGAAGATGATTATCACAGTTATGGAGGGTCAAGGTGTTGGAGTTTTCCGGAACATTGAATAAAAATGTGTCAAATGATGAAGTTTACCATGGAAACAGAAATGGGAATGGTGTTACACTGTCATTAGTGAGTTCGGGATTTTAGCCAACAATATGATAATAAAATAATTTAGAGAGAGCAGATGTGCTGAGGATTTTAAACTACAATAAGTTGATAGGTCTCAAAAATTGGGAAAAGTACACGCTAGCAGACACATTAGACATGACGCTGGGGGTTTGAATGAGAGAAAATTTATAATAAAGAAATGATATTTTCGCATGTTTGATATGCAACATATTTTGACTGATCAAGATAGAGGACATCGAGACGAAAATTTGAAAAAGAAAAAAATTAGAATCGGTTAACTCGCTATTGAGATATTTAAAAAAATTAGATTTACATATCAAGCTTAATATCTCAGAAAGTACCGACGGCGGTGGCTGGGTGGTTAGAGTGTGGGATTGGCATGCGGGAGAGCCGGGTTCGATTCCCGGCTGGGGGGCCAAAATTTGTGACACTCTAAATCTCACGGTTTCATTGGCGAGCGGGAGTTTCGCAAGAGACGACTGTACCTGGGCAGCTTTTTCCCTCAAATGAGATTTTCCCTGGTCCTTCGGCGAATGCGGTACAGGGGGTTGGGGGGTGGGAAGGGAACAAATCGTAAAGACCCGAAAGGGTATACGAAAAGAAAAAAAAATTTTGTTTTCATCTCAGAAAGTAATTATCCGATTGAGCCTATTTTCAATACGAACCATTGTTACTACCAGAGACAACTTCATGCCAAATTTCAAGTTGATATCTGCAGTTTTGTGGATGCTAGAGTGCGAACAACGCTTTAAAGTCAAAACGACAAAAATTAAAATATCTCTAAATTTTGTATAATTGGGTGCAGATATTTTGATTGGTCAAGATAGAGGACATCGTGACGAAAATTAGAAAAAAAAATTATAATTCGTTAACTCGCTATTGAGATATTAAAGAAATCAGATTTACATATAAAGTTAAATATCTCGGAAACTAATTATCCGATTGAGCCCATTCTCAATACCAACCATTGTTACTACTAGAGACAACTTCATGCCAAATTTCAAGATATCTCCATTTTTGAGGATGCTAGAGTGCGAACAACGATTTTAGGTCAAAAAGAGAAAAATCGAAATATCTCGAAAACTTTCTATGAACGGGTATACATACTTTGATTGATTGCGATAGAGGGCATCAAGATATTTAGGAAAAAGCGTAGAGAAACAAATGGCTATTTCTCAAAAACTAATTGACTGATCCAGCTGAATTTTGGCATGAAGTTAGTCCCAAATGACTCCAATAAACCGACAAAATTTCAAATTTTTTGGAATAAATTTTCCCGTTTATTCGTTAATTTAAAAAAAAAAGTGACCACCGAGTGGACACTATCACACACAGACATGGTCTCCAAACTTCGTATTTTTCTGTTTCAGACCTTTCTGGATCGTTTCCAAGCAAAATTAGCAGAAGTGAATATCGAACGAATGCATAGCTTCCATTCGGAAGCAATAAAAATATTTTTTTTACTAGAAAAATCGAAAAATGCGGGCTTTTACTCCCCCTCGCCCCTTTGCCCTAACATCGATGAGTCGAATATTTTTTGGGGGGTTGAGGGGGAGCTCCCGAACATTTTTTAGTCAAAAAATTTAGTCATATTGTCGCTCTTATAATGTGACCTTTCAATATTTAATTAATATTATTTCCTAAAAAGGGGATTTAGGCCGATTAAATAATGAGGACAAATGAGGGGTAAAATTAACTAAATATGTATATTTCTATTAATTTACATATTAGATCGTCGTAAGACGTTTGAAATGCCTTTTACTTGGATCTAGGGTTATGGGTAAGGCCAGGCAACTTTTGTACACGTAAAAAGGGGAGTGACTCTAATGCAGAAAAAGGGGAGAAGCTAGTCGTATCGAGGGAATGCAACTAAATATAAAAAGAATAACTAAATGGGGAAGAAACAAAGAGTGTAGGCTCACCGTTGGGGGGTATGAAGGGTAATATTGTGGGGTCAAGAGGGAAAATGAGGGGGGTAACTCGTACTCATGAAGGGACTTCACTCTGCTGAATACGTGGAATTCCACCGGCGCCTTGCACTCCTTCCAAATACCAGGGCGTTTTCCTGGAGAGCCTCCTTTCCACCTCGGGGTTTCCTGGGCACCAATACTAGAGCTGGGATGAGCTCGATGTATCGAAAATCCTCTTTTTATCCGCCAATACTTCCGGGCGAATTTTACTGTATTCACTATTACTACTTTCGGGGCACGTGGTGACTCACGGGGCAGCTATTGCACGAGTGACGGTCTCTTCTTTTCCTTCGCGATTCGTGGGGGTTCGTCAGGTGTCGATGTCCTTCGGGTTTTAATTCGGGAGCAATCGGGGCCAATCAGCACGGGTGAGTGGTGACGATGACCACAATCCAGGGATGTCTCGCAAGGGATTATTGCTGGTGGTGAATATTCGGGGGTCTAGTATGGGGAATTTCCAGGAGGCGATGGCTTCTCCAATTGATCGGGTGGGGCCGGAACTGATGTCTTCCTTCGGCTGGTGTCTTCGTGATGTCCAGGGGCAGGGGCAGAGGGGCGATGAGGGGAAAAGTGAGGGAAGGGGTATCCAACGGTGGCGGGATTTACCTTTTAGGGGGCAGTGTGTAGTGGAAAAAAATATGTAGAAAAATAATAAAAAATAAATGAATATGCCTCGTCACAAATAAAAATATTTTTTTTACTAGAAAAATCGAAAAATGTGAGGTTTCACCCCCCTCACCCCTTTGCCCTATCCTCAATGAGTCGAATATTTTTTGGGGGGTTGAGGGGGAACCTCTGAATATTTTTTAGTCAAAAAATTTAGTTCGATTGTCACTCTTATAATAAAATATTTTTCTTTACTAGAAAAATCGAAAAATGTGAGGTTGTACTACCCCTCGCCCCTTTGCCCTACCCGCGATGAGTCGAATATTTTTAGGGGGGTTGAGGGGGAGCTCCAGAATATTTTTTAGTCAAAAAATTTAGTTAACTTGTCACCCTGATAAAAATATTTTTTTTACTAAAAAAATCGAAAAACGTGGGGTTTTACCCACCCTCGCCCCTTTGCCCTACCATCGATGAGTCGAATATTTTTATGGGGGTTGAGGGGGAGCCCCTGAACATTTTCTAATCAAAAAATTTAGTCAAGTTATCACTCTTATAATGAAAATATTTTTTTTACTAGAAAAATCGAAAAATGTGGGGTTTTACCACCCCTCGCCCCTTTGCCTTACCCTCGATGAGTCGAATATTTTTAGGGAGGTTGACGGGGAGCCCCTGACCATTTTTTTGTCAAAAAATTTAGTCAAGATTTCACCCTTATAATAAAAATATTTTTTTTACTACAAAAACCAAAAAATGTGGGGTTTCCCCCCCCCCCCTCCCCACCGTCCCTTTGCCCTACCATCGATGAGTCGAATATTTTTAGGAGGGATTGAGGGGGAGCCCCTGACCGTTTTTTTGTCAAAAAATTTAGTCAAGTTGTCACCCTTATAATAAAAATATTTTTTTACTAGAAAAATCGAAAAATGTGGGGGTTCCCCCCCCCCTCCCTGTAGGATTCGAGGTGGTGTTGGATCGGGAAGGTAACGAATCAACTACGCGAGGTAACGGTTGTAAACTAGTAATTCGTTTATTGTCGTGATATGAGTATGTACAGGATGAGTCGGTGGTATGAATGTATTATATATACAGGTGAGGTGGAGATGTCCACCGAGTGGCGAGAGCTACACGACTACTAAGCAGGAGCGATTGCGACACCTGGAACGTGCATGTGTTCCTCAGGTGTGTGTCTGTGAGAGCGGTGCGATACGCGTCTCAGTGTGGATGTAGCGAGCCGCTACATGACTCCGTGCTTCAGTAAAAAACGTAGTTTTTCTGTAACAAAAAGAAAAAATTAAAAATAACAAGACAAGGTCAAGCATGAGCTTGATAAATGTTGTTGATGGAGGTGACTACGACACTCTTGCTGCTGCTAGGCGTGGGCTGTTCTCCGAGTTGTTGTTGTTCCCGAGTCCAAGTGTTGATTCGCAGGAAATATGCGTGAGATCCGCGAAGATGAGCGACAGGGCTTATTGAAATGACCGATGAGATGAATCCCTGTGTGAATGCTCGTGTGTTTGAAGGCAGATGTGTAAGTCTCAACGATGTGTTTAGCGGATATGAGCTCAGTGAGTCGGTCCGATGCTCTCAACGCTGCTATCCGAGTAATTTGGCATGAGGTTACTTTCTTCTCTCCCTCATGCGTGAATATCGCTGCGAACCTAGCGGGTGATGTTTCCATCCTCGTTAGCCCGAGTGGTCAAGATGCGATGTAGGTGCGATGAGACTGCGGGTGAGGTTATCATCCTCATTGACCCGTGCCCCGCATGCGGTGTCCGTTGTCGCTGTGTATGCCTCGTACCAGCGGAGTACTCGATGAATCCTCGCGGTAGAGGTGAATGCTGCCTGTGTGATGTGTGGACTATTTGTTGGGACAGAGTAGCAGAGTCGGAATGTTGACATCCGATGCAATCCCCGTTTGTATCGCGTATGTTGAACGGGAGAAATTCGACCGTTGACACGGCGCGTTTCCGACAATCACAAAATAATTGAAATTACTAACGGAGATTAAATGCTAGATTATTTACAACAGTGGTTGCCCTCTGAATAAAGTCGTTAGAATTCTTTATTGTAGCACTAACACAACACAACGTTCTTTGGGTGCTCCGCAACGTGTTAGCGGGTGCGAGAGAGACAACATTACACTCGGTACATGTGCACTCGGCCGCGGTAGTTAGCGAGGCGGGAATCACACAGGCACTAATAAACTGAACCACGTCGCCAGGCGACCGGTGTGTCTAATTTGCGTGCGCACTGAAGCTGTGCGTGCGCAGCAAGTTGGAGAAGACGTCCGAGTATCGATTTTCGCAGGACGCCATTTTCGCACAGGAGAACGACCACGTGGAGAAAATTGAATGAAGTCTTTTTCTTCCACAGTGTATCACTGCACTGAAATTTATGTACACTGACGAGGTGTTGCGGCGCGGGAGTTTTTAGCGAACGCGTTTGGTGACCGAAATTATTTATTTAACGCGTTGAACAAAGATAGACTCTTCCCGGGTAAAGGCACGCGCACTCATTTCACTTGTTGCACTCGCGCTTCTTTTTGATGTTGAATGAGAAACTGCCTCTCACACCGATTCCCGGTATCGGAACCAATGTAGGATTTGAGGTGGTGTTGGATCGGGAAGGTAACGAATCAACTACGCGAGGCAACGGTTGCAAACTAGTAATTAGTTTATTGTCGTGGTATGAGTATGTACAGGATGAGTCGGTGGTATGAATGTATTATATATACAGGTGAGGTGGAGATGTCCACCGAGTTGCGAGAGCCACACGATTACTAAGCGGGAGCGATTGCGACACCTGGGACGTGCGTGTGTTCCTCAGGTGTGTGTCTATGAAAACGGTGCGATACGCGTCTGTGTGGATGTAGCGAGCCACTACACCCCCTCGCCCCTTTGCCCTACCATCGATGAGTCGAATATTTTTTGGGGGGTTGAGGGGGAGCCTCTGAACATTTTTTAGTCAAAAGATTTAGTCAGATTCCCACTCTTATAATAAAAATATTTTTTTTCCTAGAAAAATAAAAAAATGTGGGGTCTTACCCCCCCCCCCCCCCCCCCCCTTT